CTGAGTTGTTTGATGGAAAGAATTTTAAGAGATGGCAAATGAAATTGCGATTTTATTTGACAACACTTAAAGTCGTTGATGCTATCGAATCAGATAAACCTGGTTTTGTAATTGCTGATAATCCCACTGATAAGGAAACAGAAGATTTTGCTAATTGGGAATATAAGGATTATATGTGCAGGAATTATATTCTGAATTGTTTGACTTTAGATCTGTATGATGTTTACTACTCGTGTAAATCTGTAAAAGAGTTATGGAATTCATTAGAAAAGAAATATGCTACTGAAGATGCTGGAACCAAGAAATTTGTTGTGGGAAAGTTTTTAGATTTTAAAATGAATGATGTTAGAACTGTGGTTAGTCAGGTTGAAGAATTGCAGATTATAATTCACGAAATTATTGCTGAAGGATATAAAATCTGTGAGGGCTTTCAAGTGTCAGCTATAATTGAAAAATTGCCACCTACTTGGAAAGAGTATAAAAATAGTTTGAAGCATAAGAGAAAAGAAATGTCCTTAGAGGATCTGATTATCAGGATTAGAATCCAGGAGGACAATAGAATGGCAGAACGTAAGGAAATGCTAGATTTTGATACCAAGGCTAATCTTATTGAAGGAAGTTCTGGGACTAAGAAACCAATTGGAAATCTTACAAGGGGTCAGAACTTTAAAGGCAGAAATAAGGGAAAACAATTTGTAGGAAAGAACAATCGGTTTAAGCCCCAATTTAAAAATAAAAGTGTTGGTGACTGTTTTGTTTGTGGTAAACCAGGTCACTTTGCAAAGGATTGTAGAAATAGGAAAGGAAAAGCTGTGAAGCATCAGGCACATGTGGTAGAGGATGGGAATTTCTCTGCTATGGTGACAGAAGTGAATCTAGTAAGCAAAATGACAGACTGGTGGGTAGATTCTGGAGCTACCAAGCATATTTGCTGCACGAGAGGTGCATTTTCTTCATTCACTCCCGCTAGTGATGGAGAATGTCTGTTCATGGACAATGCTTCCTCCTCCAAAATCGAAGGGAAAGGAACTGTGACGCTTAGATTTACTTCTGAAAATATCCTTAATTTGAAGGATGTCCTTTATGTACCTGATATTAGGAAAAATCTAGTATCTGGATCTATCTTAGTAAAAAAGGGTTTTAAGATTGTATTTGAAAGTGGTCAAGTTGTACTGTTTAAGGATGGTTCCTTTGTTGGGAAAGGGTATGCAGATGAGAGTCTATTTAAACTCAATATCTCTGTGATTAACAATAAAGCATCTAGCTCTTCCATTTACTTGTTGGATTCTTATGATTTGTGGCATGCTAGACTTGGACACGTTAATAAAACTTCTATTAAAAAATTAATGACTTTGGGAAACATTCCCAAAATCGATAATTGTCCAAATTCAAAATGTGAAACGTGTGTTGAATCTAAATATTCTAGAAAACCATTTCCTCGTGTTGATAGGACTACTTCGGTCTTAAGTTTGATACATTCTGATTTATGTGACTTAAAAGGATATGTTACTCGTGGTGGAAATAAATATTTCTTAACTTTCATTGATGATTATTCTCGATATTGTTATATTTATCTACTTAAGAGTAAGGATGAAAGCTATTCAAAATTTATTTCCTATAAAATTGAAGTAGAAAATCAGCTAGACAAAACTATTAAAGTTTTAAGATCTGATAGGGGAGGAGAATATACAGGAGATTTTGATAAATTTTGTGTTGAGAATGGTATTATTCATGAGACTACTCCACCTTATTCTCCACAATCTAAAGGTGTAGCTGAAAGGAAAAATCGAACCCTTAAGGATATGGTCATATCAATGCTAAGCTCTTCTGGATTACCTTTTAACATGTGGGGGGAAGCACTTCTTACTACATGTTATATTCTTAACAGAATTCCTAGTAAGAAAAATAATAAGTCTCCTTATGAAATGTGGAAGGGCAAAATACCTTCATATAAATATCTTAAAGTGTGCGGGTGTTTAGCTAAAGTTTCTATTCCAGCACTTAAGAGAACTAAACTTGGTCCGAAAACTATTGATTGTGTTTTTATAGGCTATGCTTTTCATAGTAATGCCTACAGATTTTTAGTTATTGACTCTAAAAATAATTTGATTGAAAAGAACACAATATTTGAAACTAGAGATGCTGAATTTTTTGAAAATAGATTTCCGTTTAAAAAAAAGTCTGAAGGATCAAGCAGTTCTTTTAGTATTCCTCCTAATGTTAGAGAGGAGCCGTCTGAATTAGAAGAAGCTGAAATTAGGAGAAGCAAAAGACCTAGGACCACTACTTCTTTCGGTCCTGACTTTATAACCTACTTAGTAGAGGATGATCCTAGTACTTTTGGTGAAGTTATTTTTTCACCAGATTCTATATTTTAGAAGGAAGCTGTAAATAGTAAATATGATTCAATTATATCTAATAATACTTGGGAGTTAGTGGACTTACCTCAAGGATGTAAGACAATTGGGTGTAGATGGTTGTTTAAGAAAAAACTTAAACCTGATGGTTCAATTGATAAGTATAAAGCAAGACTTGTAGCTAAAGGCTATAAACAAAAGGAAGGAGTTGACTTCTTTGATACTTATTCACCCGTTACTAGGATTACCTCTATTAGGATGTTAATTGCAATTGCCTCACTGTATGATCTTATTATACATCAAATGGATGTCAAAACTGCATTTTTAAATGGAGACTTAGAAGAGGAGATTTATATGGATCAGCTTGAAGGATTTGTTGTAGAAGGCCTTGAGGATAAAGTATGTAGACTTAAAAAATCCCTTTATGACCTTAAACAAGCTCCTAAGCAATGGCATGAAAAATTTGATACAGTTTTGACATCAAGTGGTTATGTGATAAAT